AAAACACACGGAAAATGACAAAATGGACCGGATGACACTAAAACGAACCTAAAAATGACTCGATAACACATATAAACACATAAAAATAAGCACAAAAACATAACAAACAGACCCACCAAAATCCGAGGACACCTTAGAAATCCTCTCGCCGAGACGATCCAGATTCCGGCCACCGTTGTCGGATCCGGTGAACTTTGCAGCGACCATTTTTCCGGCCAAATTAACTCACTGAGCTCATGGTTTGCCCTTTTTCACCATTTTCTTACCATACGTTCGTGAATTTTTCAATGAAGGTGCATTTTCCGACAATCGAAAGTCCGAGCCATGCTTATCTTCTATTGCCCATATTTCGGCACCATATTTTTCGGCAAGCTCCAAGGCACACATCTATCATTCGATCTTTGTTGATTATTGGTTGTTTGGAATGATGCGGATACTACTCTTGCCGGAGTAGCGGTCTTGGTGAGTCAAATTGATTGTTTGGGGAGATCTTTTGATCGTGTTGGGCACGTCTTGCCGGACTTGCCAATTTTTGTTGAAATTGGTCATCGGAGTCGCCCGAGGTTTTGTATTTTTGTTAAAGAAAGTGCCGAGCTGTTTTACCGAGGAGGCCGTCGATTGATAGAGTTGGTCGTGTCATGGTATATGGCAACTATCATTGAGAGTTTCGTGGCCCGATTTTGAGCTTTTACACATACATGTGTCTTCGTCGAGTTTGTGGATTCACCGCTATTATCCCTCCGAGATGCCTACAAGTGGCCTTAATCAGAACCGACGGCCTGGATTCTCTTATGCTTTTATATGTTATAGTGCTTGGTTGGCTTATGGAGTCCATGCTTACAATGTACAACCGTTCGGATGGTTTCATTTTTAGCTCAAGGATCTTCGGACTATTTTCTCTATTCCCACCGGGCGAACACCATAGGACGCACGGTGGTGGCCACCTCCGTGTAGGGTACGCATTTTCTTTTCCTATTTTGTTTCTCTTTCGTTGGTTCTTGTGTGTCTCCGTGTTTGTTTTCTTATCGTTTCTTTGTTTATTGTGTCTCGTTTTAGTTTTAATCGCATGAACGTACATGATTATGTGCTTTCTCCTATGCTTTTTGGTCAAGCAATGAGGACATTGCTTTGTTTTAAGTGTGGGGGAGGGATTTTCGTGATTACGCATGTTTAGGTGATATTTGTTTCGCTTTTGGTATTTTATTTTTTCGTACTTTTCGTGTCGTCGACCGGTTCTTATTTGAGTTTTTGTGTGTTTGAGTCACCTCTCCCGCATGAAGCTCAATGTTTGTTCAAGAGTCGAAATAGCTAAGTGGTAAGTCGAGATTGTTGATTGGTTTCACTATTAACGTTCATGCTTTATGTACTTGATGAATTAGACGGTATCCTAAAATTGAATGATGATTCGTTGACATTGGAACCCGAATGTAGATTCACAGAGTTGTTTTGTCCCTTGTTTATTCTCGATTGATTGTCTTGAGGCATGCTTCTTTTATGTTCGATTATCGTTGTAAACTTGTTGTCTATACACTTGTGGTACGTTTTGATTGATTGATTTGTGATGATAATTGTATTATATTTGTGATGTATCCTTGTGTGCTACCCCATTCGAAAAAAAAGGAAATAAAATGTGAGTTCCTGAGCAACTACGGATTAGGCTCCTCTTATCCCGAGCCACTTCGTGGAATGGGATAATGAGCCCGGGAAAACGGTCTAGGAAACTCGAGAAAACCTCTCGAGGTTAAACCTAGATCATCTCGTCCAGAAACCTCGTTTGAAAAAAAAAAAGAAGCTCACGAAAATGAGTTCGTAAGAGTTGAAAGGATTAGGCTCCTCTTGGCTCGGTTAGTCTTCTAGATAAATCGGGTCAGTGAGTACGGGAAACCGGCCTAGGGACTTGGGGACAAACCCCGAGGTTAAATCTAGGTAATAATCGTCCTTACGACCCTCATTTGGAAAAAGTAACTCATTAATAATAAAAAAATAATAATAAAGAAAAAAAACAAAAGAAAAAAAAAATATAAAAAAAAAAAGAAAAAGAAAAAGAATGGGAGTTGGCTTATTGGTCTTATGCTTATTAGTTTACATGTTTAGTAGACCATTCATAGTTTTTGCATGTGTAAGTAGAATAAGGGAGCTTGAATCGAGTAATCATGTCTAGAATGACTTGGGACGGATTATTTTTTTGTATGGATTCGTTATGTGGGGACCGTGTTTCCAGATTCGAGTTTGATTTTATGGATTCCGGATGAAGATAAGAGTTCCATTTCGCATGTTCGTTGATTTTGGACTTTATAATTTTCTTTTTGAACTACTTATTATTTTATTTGCTTGAGGACAAGCAAAGAGTTAAGTGTGGGGGAGTTGTTTGTTATGTTTTTGTGCTTATATTCTTGTGTTTTATGTGATTTAGTCGAGTAATTTTTAGGTTCATTTTAGTGTCAACCGGTCTATTTTGGCGTATTTTATGTGTTTTCATGTTCGTTATTTGTTTTCGTATTTTGTCGTATTTTCTTGCGTATTTTTCGTGTTGTTTAGGTCTGCATTGTCCGAGTTTGGGAAGAGGAACCATTGTCCGAGAAATTGTCCGTGCCATTGTTCATATTTTCGATGCCGAGTCATTTCCAGACGAGTTAGTCGAGCCATTGATCGATCCATATGAGTTTCCGAGATAGAGATCACTGGTTGAGTCACCCGAGTGAAGGAATCAAGTTGAATGTCGCGTTTGCCGCGAAATCCAATTCGCGGACCGTAAGATGGTACTTGGTGGTGGCCAATCCTAGACACTCGCTTGCGAGTTCACTTTGGCGGGCTGCCAATCGATCACCTCTAGCCCTTTTCATGCACTCGCGGCGAAGAAGAGTTCGCACCGCGCCAATCGCTAGCCTGCGGACAGCAGCACTCGCCGCGAACATCTGTTCGCGACCCGCGAAGCGCGCCCTTGGCAGCCAACCCCTACACTCGCTAGCGAACCTGAGTTCGCGTCCCGCCCAACGTCGCTCCACAACCACCAAACGTCGAACTCGCAGTACTAAAGATTTTATTTTTATATCAACTGGAGAATCCGACTGCACAAAAGGCTTTATCATACTAAAGATTTTATTTTTATATCAACTGGAGAAAGAACTCTAAATTTCAGTTAAGACTAAATTAAATTTGTGCAACTTACATTGAAAATTCAAAATTAAAAAAAAATATAATATAGTTTTTTATTAAAGTAATAATTCTTTAACTTTCCATACCATGTTAATTATAAGATAGAACAAAAGTAGTATTGACAATTTAAGTAATATTTAAATATTTTATTAGAAAAATATTTCCTTAACCTTTCATACCATTTTAAATATATTTTTTTAAACCAGAAAAATTCAATTGTAGTCTCAAGTATTACAAAGCATGAAATTTAAGTGAAGCTTAATTGTTATAACTATATTTTATTTCCATTTTAATTTTTTTTTTTAAATTATATAGGATCAAAGTTGACATAAAATATATTAATATCACACATCTATTTTAATAATTCGGTTCTCAATTTCGGTTCTTCGGTTCGTTGCGGTACGGGCCAGTTCGGTTCTGTTCTCGATACGGATATTTGTGAAATCTTCTGAACCGTACCAATTAATTTTTTCGGTTCAGTTCGGTTTGGTTCGGTTATGAGAAAGTCAAACGATCAACGGTTATTTTCGGTTCGGGGTAATTTTAGTTCGGTTTTCGGAACGATTTGAAAATATCAGAATCCGGGAAAAATTCAAAACTAGGCCACAGGTATAGGGGGGGATATTTTTGGTCCCAATGAAATGCAAAAATTATAAATAGTCCCACAACTTTTAAAAAACGATCAAAAGTAGGACTTTTTGCCGGATTTTACTGTTTTCGGCCCGGAATGCCACGTGGCGCACACGTGGAATATTTTTTTTACATGTTGGCATCCGACGTGGATATGAAAAAAAAAATCAAAACTAGTCCCACAGGTATAGGGAGGTGACATTTTTTGTCCCACAGGTATAGAAAGGTGACATTTTTGGTCCCACAAGTATGCATAAAATATGCAACAAAATATGACACGTGTGCGCCACGTGGCATTTCGGGCCGAAAATAGTAAAATCCGGCAAAAAGTCTTACTTTTGATCATTTTTTAAAAGTTGTGAGACTATTTATTTTTTTTCATTCCTTTTGGACCAAAATTGTCACGCCCTATACCTGTGGGACTAGTTTTGAGTTTTTCCCATCTGATCCCATGTTCAGCCCTAGTAATGGGTACAGAGAAAACAAAATGATTAGTGCATTGTTGAATCTGCTATTCAGTATAAACCCTTAATTATATAATTGATTATGCATATAATTTCAGTTAATCTTCACGCCAACTAAGGGGAACATTTTTGCAGTAGCATTATTAGAGAGTTGACCAGCATTAACAATTTGCATAATCAATCAACATCTCCCATCAATGCTGTTCTCATTTGTCAGCAACGATTAAGGTCTATAAATACACCCAAATAGAAACAAGTCCAAACACACAAACAAAAAAACAAAATATCTAAACAGAATTGATCATAACATAAAAAATGGTACAGTTATTCCTCGTCGTTACGTCCTTCATCTTGATCCACTACCACTCGTCGTACGCAACACACGACCTCAGCTACAATGTTCTGAGTTTCGGAGCGAAATCCAACGGCAAATCCGACTGCACAAAGGCTTTTCAAAAGGCATGGGCCGCCGCCTGTGCCGCCACTCAACCGGCCACGATTTACGTGCCTTCGGGCAGATATTCACTGAAAAACGTCGTTTTTACCGGAAATTTGTGCAAGAATCCGGCAATTACAATCCGCATTGACGGCACTCTCGTAGCTCCCAACGCTATTGGGAATGCTGATACTTGGTTGAAGTTTTATAAAGTTACCGGAGTTTCTATATACGGCGGAACCCTAGACGGCCGGGGCTCGAAATTGTGGGCATGCAAGAAGTCCGGCAAGAGTTGCCCTAACGGCGCTACGGTACGTAATAATTAATTAATTAGCTATTGACAATTTTTTGCTACGTATTTGCCTTTTTTTTCTAATCATGATAATTAATTCACATATTTTGTGCAGTCGCTAGCGTTCTATCATTCAACCAACATAATAATCAACGGGCTGTCTTCCTTAAACAGCAAGATGTTTCACATTCTCATATACGGTTGCCTAAATATGAACGTCGTCAATACAAGAATATCGGCACCCGGAAACAGCCCAAACACCGACGGGATTCACATAACAAAATCATCATCCGTCACTATATCAAACTCTCGTATAGGCACGGGAGATGACTGTATCTCCATCGGCCCTGGGGCCTCTAACCTGTGGATCGAAAACCTCTCGTGTGGGCCCGGGCATGGCATAAGGTACTAAAATATCACACAATAAGTCATATTTTTGGAAAAAACAAAAAAAAACAAAAAATAGGCATAGTATTGAGAGATTTTGGTTAATTTTGGCAGCATAGGGAGCCTAGGTTGGGATTTGCAAGAAGAAGGCGTGCAAAACGTGACGGTTAAAACGGCGACGTTCACCGGAACTCAAAATGGTGTGAGGGTGAAGACCTGGGCGAGGCCGAGCAATGCCTACGTCAGAGACGTTCTTTTCCAGCATGTAGTCATTGTTAATGCCCTAAATCCCATTATCATCGACCAAAATTACTGCCCAACCCACAAAAATTGTCCCCACCAGGTACAAATAGCAATATTGATCGATAAAATTACACCCGACGGGATGGTACGTACCTAACGGGACCGTAGCATTTTCTTGAAATACAACCATTTTTTAGTAGAAATGTGAATAATAGTCATTTTATAATGTGAAATGACATAATTACCTTACTATCAAAAACTGAATTATCACAAATAGTTTTTTGTAGTAAGGGTAATTTTGTAATTTCATATGACAAAATTTACTATTATTTAATATTTCGACAAATTGTAACTATTTATTTATCTTTTTTTTTTAAAAGTTACATGGCCATTTAGTGATATTTACCACTATATGCATGCTGTTGTTCTTAAAATTATCACGTTGCTTTTCAGGGCTCGGGTGTGCAAATTAGCGGCATAACGTACCAAGACATACACGGGACATCGGCGTCGCAAGTCGCGGTGAAATTCGACTGCAGCAAGAAAAAGCCGTGTAGTGGGATCAATTTAAACGAGGTTAGCCTAACGTACAACAATCAACCGGCCATAGCTTCGTGCGCCAATGCCAGGGGAATGGCATCGGGAGTCGACAAGCCAGCCAGCTGCTTCTAGCTAGGCAGTAAACGAGAAGAGAGCTTGGATAAAAGTAGAAAGTAAAAATTAATTTTGGATTATATATAATTATATATTATATGGTTATTATATGAGGGAATGTGTGAATAATAGAGATCACACAAGTACATGTGATTCTTCATGCATGTGGCTGTAATATTATTAGGGTTCTTTATCATGTGGCATAGCCAAAGCCCGGCATGTTCATCAAATCTTCTTTTAGTCCTGTCAAATTATAAATTAATGATATAGTTGTTTTTAA